TCCTCATGAGGCTGAGTAGACCCCGTTCCTGACCCACTGCTTCTCAGAAATTCTGGTAGCGCCTGGAATCAACCCGGACCTCTGGTTCTCTATCCAGGGACTCTTGACAGAGGGGGCATGTTGTGGAAGCACCCTTTAAAAATTTGGTGTCGTCATGCTCGCGTCAGACATCACTACGTTGCACAGGGTATCAGCCCGTACACTCCCTCCGGGGTGACCCTTCACTATCTCTATCGTCTCTCTTTGGCGATTTGATCGAAGTAGTTGGGGCAGTAAAACATCACAGTCCTCTCTGTCTTTCAATGCTAATTTACGTAAAGCAGGAGAATTACGAAACAAGGCACAGACCGTTGCACATCATAACTACTGAACTCTAATTATTGCCATAAAACAGGACATTTAGAAAGTTCGAACCACATTTTACAAACGGAAGGCACAACGAGCACAATTCTTTGACCCTGAGATGCTGGAATATCCAAGCAAAATTTCTGGCGGCAAATCGTTAATACTGGTTTTAGCTGACTGTGAGCCTTTCTTAGGTGATGACTCCTGAGGGCTGGGTATTATTTCAGTCACCTTTCTTGCTCTGGAAGCACTGTGAGCAGGCTGAACACGTGATCCTCCTGTTTTCATTCCATTTCTTTCTGGAGTATTTGCTTGTGCTGGACTTCCATTAACATTTCTTCTATTGCTCTGATTGGCAGCCGAGCAAGAGCCCTTATGTCTCTTCATTTTTAGCATTAAATGCAAGTCAAAGTCAGAGTTACTTTACGACTGGCGGTTTATCGCCAATTATTTCATCTTGACGTCAAGCACCTTGAGACTCACGACGCTATTCCTGCTTTCAGCCGTTATGACACAGTAGGTTGAGAGCCGACCCATAATAAATCACGGCTTCCGACTGTCTTGAGCGTACATATTGCCGCGGAAATGTGTTGTAACTAGTTGTTGCGTAGCAATGGACGCCTCTGCAACATGTCTCGCAATTCCATGCCATACTCATATTGCTTATAGGAATATTTCATAACAATACGCCTATAAATTGCCTCATTTTGAAATGCCACTGGCTATATTCTGTGCAAATAAATAAATTCTTTCAAATAATTAGTAACTATCATCTACACAGACATCAACTCAGGGCCGCATCTCATTACGGAAGCCTTTCCTGGCCGCTTGCGGTCTGTCTTTCATATGTAGGTTGTTTTTGCTGATTGTATAAATATGGCACTTTGTAGTGTACTTAAATGTTTTCCTATTTTTTGTAATTCCCGTGCTGTCCGATACGTTCCCATACATGTGGCCTGTGTTGAGTGTATGATCCAGTACCCAGAATTACCGTTATTGTTTCATAAGGCTAAAATGTGTTTTTCATATCGGGTACTGAAAGCGCGTCCTCTTTGTCCATTATATTTCTGTGAAGAATCTAAACATTTCATTTAGCTGAAGACGGGTTGTTTCCATTTCTCTGTTTGTGCTGTTTGTTTTAGTATGTTTCTCTATTCTCCATTGCACCATCAAGCCTGCCCCTGCAAATTAAACCATTAACCAAGAAGGTGCTGGAGGCCGCGCCATAGCTCAAGCGGTTAGGCGCTGGCTTCCCAACGCGGCGGCCCGGGTTCGATCTCGATGGTCTGGTTAAGTGGGATTTGTGGTGGACAAAGTGGCGCTGGGGCACGTTTTCTCCGAGTACTTCGGTTTCCCCTGCCAATCTTCATTCCACCAATTGCTTCACAATCACTCTCACCTATCATCTGGGGCTGGTACAATAGGCCAGAAGTGACAGCAGTACAAGGGACGTAGTCCTACCCCACTAGCAGTAAAAAAAAGAGAGGGTGCTGCTTTATAAGCTTTATTATCAAAAGCTGCTCTGAGATTTTCCTCCTGCTGTAAAACACATATTTAATCTAAGTTTATTAAAAGTGATTTTTCAGTTTACATTGAAAGAAGCGGCTGTAGGTTCTGTATTTGCGAAGCACAGCAGCGCTCATGTGACTAGTTCAGTTTTAAATAGATCGTCTAAACTTTTCGAAAATATTGCCAGCTCTCATTTTGTATTCATTTTAAACTACATTACTCTCAGCGTCGTCATGTCATGAAGAAACAAGTTCCTGCATCGTCTTGGTTTGTGAATGCAACATCCACGATACTTCCGACAATGAAAGAAACTTGTGGTAAAACTTTTGCTGTTTTTATTATTATCTCGAGAAATGTGTGTTTTATTAAGTTGTGTATTCTGATAAAAATTGTTTTATAATCTGTATATAATGTTACGTTTTAAATTAAAATCTGCGGCAAAAGCTAAAGCTGTCTCTGTGATTAATTAATTAAACAATATAACATGAAGACATATGGGGAAGTGGAGGTATAACTCCACTATTCTTGACCTCGACAATAGCTGGAGGTGAGTGGGCAGCTGCACGCCCCTGCCGCTTTCCTCAAGCTGAAAGAAACCCAGGTTTCTCCTCCCCTCGCTCTATTCCCCATTGTCTGTGTGATGTGCACCTATCATTGATAATGCTGTACAAGATGAAGAAAGACATACCTTGTGTGTTTCTATACATCAAATAGTTTATAATAAATCTTCAAAAGCATCACAATTTCCATTATGCACCTCAAGCTCTTCTGGTTAAAATGGTGTGAAATCTCTTTCACTCACAAAAACTCTGAATAAAAATCCATATTTACAGGTGACGATGTCTTATCTTGAGATATACAATGAGAATATTCGTGATCTCTTGAACCCAAGTTCAGGTTTCCTGGAACTTCGTGAGGACTCACGAGGCAGAAATATACAGGTGAAACATCTCTCAGAAATATCCACCACATCTACTGAGGAGGTAAGTAACATGCAAGAACGAAGCTAGTAGAAATTCACTTACAATCATGTGATCAGTGACAGTTGTGGTGTTTACTTTCCACCACCATGTCCATTAAATTTGGGCCACACTGAGAGAATAATACTTGCACCTTAAAATTTTTTTTTTTACTTATTGTAACATAAAAAGACCACACTTTCTACTTTGAAATTTGTATGGGTAGAATAAATGGAATCTATTCTACCCATACAAATTTCAAAGTAGAAAGTGTGGTCTTTTTATGTTACAATAAGTAATGGGTAGAATAGATTCCATTTTTTCTACCCTATAACCCGAAGTAGAAAAAATATGAAGCTAAGTAATTTTAAAACTAATGAATATTGGAATCAGTCTTGGAGTTGTAAGAAGTACTGACACATTTTAAGTCTATTTTATTAAAAGATCCGACAAAATAGCCGAAGAGTTGTTACATATACAGTATCTTTCCAGTGATCCACAAGTTTCCTGATATCATCAAAATAAAATGTCTTCAGTTTTTCCATATGTCCTATTGTTGCATGTGTACTCCTTGCAGCATTTACCAAGCTGTTTCATAGCAAATAATGAAAGTGGGCCAAAACATACATTTTATATGACACATACTATATTCATGTTAATGGATGCACACACACAAAAACCTTCTGTGCTCACACCCTATTTACAATTGCACATGGCACCATTTACTGAATATGCAGTTGAAACTCCATTTCTTGTCACATGCAAGCCAGCATATCTCTGTTGGCTGTTAGTATGGTGTCTATGATATGTCTTCAGATTCTTAAATCCTGTCACCATCACAGAGTACAACATATCCCTTACATATGCATATAAAGAAGTCCAGTGTAGTAGCCTCTGGGGATCGGAAGGACAAAGCCACTGGGCCAGCCACCTTTGCCAGTTCATAAAATGGGAAATTGGGCATTCCACTAGTCACGCACAATCTAACCTCAGCATGACAGGGCATCATCTTGCTTTGAAGTCCCAGTGATGTTCACATTCCTTCACAGAAGGTTGTCTGACTTCATTTTATTATTAAAAAACACTGTAACATTTGATGGAATTTAATTATAATTTTACTTATGCTATAGGATGCAACGGTCAAGAGCAATGTCTGTCATAAGAATGGAACACTTGTCCTTTGGATAACAATTTAAATGCAAAAATGTTTGGATGAATCATATCTGAATAATTGTAAACCTCACATTTACAACTGCATGTCACATGACCATTGAAAGGAAAGAATTAGTTGGTATTTTTAAGACAAATTATTAGCAGTAACTTGCCAACTAATTATTCTGTCTACTCTCTAGAATTCTGAAAATAGGACAATAGTAATTGCCCAGCTTTTTCATGGCTGTGAAACACAGTCTCCTTAGAAGTATCAGAAGACAAAATTCTAAGGAAAATACTGTATTTGGACTAAGAAAACAAGAAACTTAGGATATTAATTAACAAGAAACTTCATATTTATACTAGTTACCTGAAGGTCTTAGGACTGTAAAATAAAGTACATTGTGATAGACTGGCAATGTGGCTAGGATGGGAGAGAGAAGGAATGAATGTAGTAATGTGATGGAGAAACTCTTGCTGAACATGCACATCTAACACCGAGAATTGGGCAAAAATATGGTAGAGTATGAAGAAACTAGCTCATGATTAAGCTTATTTTGTGTTTCCTTTGGTATTAGCAATGTTGAACCTTTGGCTTCCATAAACACATTAGCTAATAATTAATAGATTACCCAATGTAAAAAACAAAATTAACCATTGTCATATTTAAGAAAAACATTAAATGTAATCTCAGAAGTATCAAAATTCATATATCATAGTTTCTCAACTTAGTTCTTAATGTTTCTATTTTCATTATTTTTCAGATTGATGATTAAAATAATTGAAATCACACCAAAAATTTCAAAATAACATTTATCTTTTTCCAATTCTCTGTATTAAATATTCATGTTTTAAACATTGTATCCTTTTTTCTGTGTTCTGCAAAATGTGGATATAGAGCCATTAAGAATTAAGGTGATGATGTTGAATTTTATGAAATATTTAGGCATGTGTGACCTTAAGATCACATTTAGTACCTCATCAAATAAACTCTTCTCTGCATATTAAATCTGTCCATTTTGTTGTGTTATTGCTAGGGTCTTGTATATCTTTACGTATTCTTCAGGTTATGTGTCTCCTACAGAAGGGAAATCGAGCTCGTACCGTTGAACCAACAGCTGCCAACAAAACCTCTTCCCGTTCACATGCATTACTCAGTGTAACAGTGCAACAGACTTCACCACTCCAGACAGTTGATAAAATGAAATCACGAATTAAACATGGGAAGCTATTTATGATTGACTTGGCTGGGTCAGAGAGAGCTTCGCAAACAAAGGTAATTGTGCAGCTAACTACAGCAGGGCCTTGAGTGTATTTATGTATCCACAGCTAATTATTTACATTTGAATATTTGAAGAAAACAAACAGTCAAATTTTGGGTGTTGAAAACAAATGTGTCAGAATGTTAAAAACAGTGTTACTGAAATTAATGAACACTAGAATGGACCCATACTATAATAATGTAACGTGATTGGCGCAACAGGAAGTAGGGGTATGAACTCTGCGTTTCGGCGGGTGACATCACATATCTCCACTCTTTCCATCACTATGCAAAGCTCAGTAAACACCCCTCCCCACTAGGCTGTGATGTCACGCAACAGGGGAGTCCATGCTGAGACTATTGCTAGGCAATCGGCAGCGTGTGACTGAGAACAAAGTGACAAGAATAACAATATTTATCTACTCATAAAACCATGAATACAAACTTGAAAATGTATGTCTTCCCACTATATGTTACATTCTACAAAAAAAGGTCATTTTTTTCTATACAGAATCGAGGAAAGCGTCTGAAGGAAGGAGCCCACATTAACCGCTCCCTCCTAGCTCTTGGTAACTGCATAAATGCCCTGTCTGGTGGTGCCCATTATGTCAATTACAGGGATTCCAAACTGACAAGACTCTTAAAGGATGCATTAAGTGGGAACTGCAAGACTGTCATGATAGCTCATGTCAGCCCAGCAGCTGTACATAAAGAGGAGAGCAGAAACACACTGCTATATGCTGATCGAGCCAAGAATATTTCAAACAAGGCAAGCAATATGGATTATTGATATCTAAAAAACAATATTTCATATGAGGCTGGAATTACAACCAGTTTTTTTTTTCTTGCTAGTATGAGTACCAATGAAGAGTTGATACACACTGGCAAACTTTTAGAAATTTTAAAGTTGTACACCTGCCCATGCATATACGTTTCACCTCGGGGACTAAACTGAACACATGATTACTAGGAAACGTATTTATAGGTAATGAATAGAAATTACAATAGTCAAACAATCATCTGCAATTTAGAAACAACTTCGCAGTATATTACATACATGGTTAAAGTTTTGTTTATGGGTCTGAGGTTCTCACAATCGTAGGTATGAAGAATATCATCTGGGATATGTCATGTATAACGTTGAAAGTCAACAGACGTTTTGGAAGGACACATGGGCTTCAGCTTCAGGGTCAAAGAATATTCTTTCAGGTTGAAGATGGAGGTGATATGTCCCTCTGAAATGTCGTTTGACTTCCAGTGGACTACATAACATTATATCCCAGAAGATAGTACACTTCATCAGAATTTCCATTCAATGGAATCAATATATTCTAGTGTTAAACCTATAATATGCATGGTTTCAGTAATGTTCTTAATGTCTGCACCAGGTGGAGCGCAACGTGCTGGATGTATCGTATCATGTCTCTCAGTACCGAAATATCATTAGTGAACTGAGAGATGAGATTGCCAGACTAAGATCAAAGATGAAGGAGGATCGGACTCATTTGGGCGATGCATCTAATGAGAAAGGGGAGAAGCTGAAGATACTAAGAGATCAAATTGTATCAACATTCAGAGAGCAAATGAGATTGAGGTCTGTTAGTGACATATGCCAGGGAAACTTTCTTGTCCAAAAACAATCTTATATTGCACAGGACTACTAAGAATAGATGCACTTCACTCTGTACTCTGTGTATGATATTATAACAAGATCCTAATTGTATCTGAAGCATTTTTGCCATGTTATCTGATGTAACCATATTTTCTGGACTGTAAACTGTACCTAGGTTTTAGAGGGCAAAATTTGAAGAAAAGAAAAAGTTACACCGTATATAGTTTGGCCGTGCCATAGCTCAAGTGGTTAGTCACTGGCTTCCCACCGCGGCTGCCTGGATTTGATCTCGGGTCTGGTCAAGTGGGATTTGTGTGGACAAAGTGGCACTGGGGCAGGTTTCCTCCGAGTACTTCGGTTTCCCCTGCCAATCTTCATTCCACGAATAAATCCATAATCACCCTCACCTATCATCTTGGGCTGGTACTATAGGCCAGAAGTGTCCACAGTACAAGGGACTTAGTCCCACCCCACTAGCAATAAAAGAAAATACACCGTATATATTTTAAACTCAAATTCACAAGTCATCACAAAAAGATTAATGTGACACAAAGTTTCTACCAGTCACAGACCCCAAAACATCTTCATCATTACTGTCACATTCATCACAAAAAGTAATGTGCAAACATTCACTGCCTTTAAAGAGTGTGCCATCTTCAGTGCCATCAAGGGCATTGCTGATGCTACTTTTAAAGGACTACATAACTGTCTTATATTTCACATATTCCCACCACTTTCTGATCCATTCAGAAACCTGTGACGTGGTTGGCCACTTCATTCATTTTGTTGATATCAAATCTTGATCTCGTGTCTCCATCCATTTAGTCCATATTCTTGATGATTTAAATGGTTTATTAATTAAGATGTTCAGTGGCTGAAACTGGGTAGTATGGACTCTTGGAATCACAGTTATTTGCATGTCTACTTCCTTAACTATCTTTTTGTTTCCCCTAAACTGGTCACACACCAAAAGGACTGGCTTCTTCAATAGACCACCTTGAAGCTTTGCCTATATTTTCTCTAGCCATGTGTTCATTCTATTTCCATCCGTCTATCCTTTAAAATGAACATGGATAAAAGTTCTTCATGGAACTTTAACTTTGGGCATCATATGTTTGCCTTGTCATATTTGTGGCACAAAGACGTTTTCGCATCAAATTAGCCATGTTTGACCACCCACCTCCTTGCTTCAAATATTGTCATTTTCATAGACATGGAAATTCCATTGTTCCTATTATATGTTGGCCCTTTTTTAACTTCTTCTTCTTCTAGTAGGCCATGCAACATGCATATGAAAAGTGTGTTTGTTTTGTCAAATTTCTGTAATTCTCTTTCTTCCTCCATTCACATATCATTTTCTCAGTTGGCAGAAGGCCACAATATCTTTCGGTTATCTGTTTCAATGCACTTTGTCATACTAAATCATGTTTCATTTGAAATGTACAGTTTATGAAATCCTCCTATGTTTTGTAGACATTTTCATAGTATACATCTACTCCCCCATATGTCCTCATGGTGTAGTGTTTAATTAGTTAATCACAGGGACAACTTTACCTTTAATTTTAACAAATTTAACAATGACTGCACTGTCTCTCAGTGATAACCAAGAGCCATGTGATAATCACACCTATTCGTTCCAGCATGCAAAACAATTCCGAAAATGGCCACTAGACAAAATTCAGTTTTCTTTGAAGGTCATTCTTCTGTACCTTTGGACCATAAGATGAAGCTGGCTAATTTAAGGCTGAATTTTCCAGGCAAGAATTATGTCTTGTGGTCTGGATAATATGGCATATACAAATATTTAATTTATTTTCAGTTCAACATATGGTAGGGAAACATCACAATTTTAGTGAAAACATGCCTCAAAAATATGCATACAAGGATCTACTGTTTAAGTGTTAAACCAGGGGAGAAAGATTAAACTTTTCATTGAGATCAAGGAAATATTGAGATCTTCATATTTTCAAAATAAAACCTTTTCTAATCCACAATAACAAGAAAACATTAAAAATTACAAATATTATTATTTTATCAGCATTTCTTTATCAAAGATACATGGGAACTACTGAATTATCCACATATTGCCTAAAAATATATTGAGACTCTTTCCTTTTAATCCTTAAGTTAGAGAAAATATGAGAACAAGCATTATTTTTGTTTAGATAACTCATTAGTAATGTCTAAATAAAAATAAAAATGAAGATATATAATAACATATGATGTTGAAAATATTCAATGAGCTGAGCCCAGAGAATTCTAGGCAAACTTTTTTTCTAAAATCAGTGCTTTATGTATGCATATTTGCATAAGAGTATCTGCATACTGCTATGCGATATACAGTATGATGTTTATGTCTATCAACAACAAATGGCTGATCAGAAGTTGGGTACTGTAGAAAGGAAGAATTAATATTCTTATTTATTTTTATTTTTCTTATTTCCATATGCCAGTGTACTTTTGGGGGACATACAGTTACTGCATGGAGTAGTTCTGTGGACATCAGCATATCAGATTGGGCCTTTGTAACTTCATTCAGCATATTATTTGTGAAGAAGGGCCAAAATAATAGCAAAATGTTGGGTACTGTATTTAAAATAAATTATTCTTGCCTCACACAGCACTGAATACAAATTTAGGTATTCTTCTGAGTCCCATGCTTGAAGGTATCATATGATAATATTAAGATTAAGATTAAAGATAAGCCACGACACACACAGAGAGAGCCTACACAGAACAATACCTGAACAGCGATAAAACGAAGTGGCCGCTGCAGCACTATAGACATAGGGCGTGTACCCCGAGAAAATTTTAAAAATTTGGAAAAAGAAAAAGAACAGAAAATTTATAGACATTTTAATTTGAATTGAAGTTTTAAAAACGTGCCAATTTTAGAAATCAAAATTGACGCGGGTAGGTTAACAAAGATTTTATACATACATACAATTGGAAAGACTGGTGATTTTAAATTTTAAACTATGGGCAATGTAGCAGCTATGTAAGAATACACACCTGATGATGGCCATTTAGGGCCGAAACATGTAGTGTGGAGGAGGGAAAGAAGAAAGAACTACAATTAAATTGTTGCACTTAAGACGGAGTTTGTCTCATATATATTGTGTGAGTGTAACAGGATGCTTAAATATAATATCATATGATAAATTGATAACTGTTAGAAGGGGGACATGTTGAGCATATCCCAACATTGATGGCAATAGTCAGGGCTAAAGTGATACTTCAGGAAGCCCTAAACTGTGACAAAGTTGAGGCTCCTATATTTTTCCAAAAGATAAGACTGAAATATATGCCCATGTATGTGCAACTGTGCAGATACATTATGTGAGCGAAATCATACAGCTGCACTGAAAGGAGCGATGCTGCCTCCCAATCTATTTTAACTGTTTCACCTGTTCCTGTGTGTGTGTGTGTGTCCATCATTCCAGTCTGACATGATGGAATTACCTCTTTATTATTCTCCGAGTTTCACGTTAGAATATTGTGTTGACTCATAATTGAATTTTCTTCTCAGCATTTGGACTCCCCTCAGACTATGAGGCCCTAAAATGCAGCTTATTTAGCTTACATATAAATCTGTCATTAGCAGTGATATAATAATGAATGAGAAATGGATAACTGTTGGAAAAAATGCATGTTGGGTTGTATTCAACATTGGTGGCAACAGGTTAAGGGATGCATATATTTTTCATTTCAGACGCCGTCTAATGGAGTACGATAGTCGCCTTTTAAGTCTTAGTGCAGAAGCTGAGCGACAACATGCAGTGATTTCTCAATGGGAGTCCAAAAACAATAAGCTGTACAAAAACAATCACAACACTCTTACCAGGTGGCACGATCGAAGACCAAACACTGAACCAGACTTTGATGTTGATCGAGGTCTGAGTACATGAATATCTATAATGCATACTTCTGGTGTTTAACACTAACCATAACTAACAATACAGAATCTGAAGTTGGAGGTTTAACACTGGTAACACTATAATCTACTGGACACAATCCTGAGCCAGTTCTATCCACTTCTTGACCTCATAATGCCCTTCCAATATCACCTGGGCTGTTAAGCCTCTGTTCTGTTCTGAAGCTACTGTACAGGTTTGCAGCATGAACATTTTACGGTGAAAGGTCTTCAGCTGTACAGTCAATTCCTGAGCAGGAAGATCTCTCCTTATCAGCTATCCATGATAGCTCATTCAGTATATTTGCACCTGCCCTCAATACGTGAAAATTGCTTACTCCATCTACATCTACAACATATGCCACAGTAACAAAGGGCCCATTTAAAATGGGAACAATGTCACAGGCAAAAAAAGGCTTATTCTAAAAATCACACAATTATGTAATTAAATTGTGACTGATTTTGGCTCTGAAATGTTTTCATTATCATGCTTAGTATCATGGAAAACAGTTTCTTAGCAATCCCACTAGCTGTAATAAATTCTTTCCTTTTAGAAACATGGTAGGATCACATCGCTAGAGGGCAGAAGATCTGGAACTGCCTCTTTGCCTCCTTCTCTCTTTGACAGTGCAAGACAAAAATAATGAAGCACAAAAGAGAACATAACATATGATGATAGTCTAGCGTCTGTCACCAATCACAGTTTGTCAAATGCAGATTTAAAGTATATACAGATTTTCATTTACAGACAACCCCTGCACTTATGAACTAATTGGCTCCTGGAGAGCCATCATTAAGTCAAACCCTCATTTCCCATAAACACAACGTTATAAACTGCAGCTCCATTCCTGGAAACCCAATTCATACCTAAATCTACTAGAATTGGCTAAGAAAATAGAGGAAAACTAAGTAAAGCACTAATTTCAGGCCTTTCGAGACTTTTATTAATAAATGAAAAAATACATTCAATACAAAAATAAGTCAGACAAAAGACTTTTTTGAATTTATATCACAAAAGTACAGTCATTTCCCATTATGTAATTTAAACTCTTTGAAGATAGAGGGTAACTGAACAGAAGCAGAAGGAAATGGGACTGCATCTACTCTGGATCATTACATGAAGTCATAAGTTTGGGGGTTTTCGGGGTAAATCTGGCATGAAAATGTAGTCTTAATGTGGGGGTCATTAGTAGAGGATTGCTTATATATCCAATTTACCAGCTGTACTAGTAGAGTTTTGGTGCCTGTGGTTATTAATTTGTGCACAGAGAGAAATATTCAGTTGCTTCACATCACAATATGCACATTTGTAGGGTGCAGGGCTGTAACAACAAGCCAAATCTAGGCCACACGTTCAAAATCTGTTTATGTGCAATTAATTTTAACATTCCCCTCCTATCTGCACCTGAGTCTCCCAGTTGATCTCTTCCTTACACATTTTATGACTGAAGCCTGTATATAATTGAAGTCTGGTGAATGTTAACAACAGTTATGGTTCCCCTAACCCACATATTCCCTCAAGGCACTGGTCCCATATTTCCTTAAATATAGGCACTGGTGGTGGGGGGTTAAATTTTATTTGATCCTGGCTTCACCTTTTCAGATGATCATGAACCACTGCTGGAAACTGTTATGAAGAATTGTGTTCAATAATTCTGGAGATAAGACTATATATATATACATTGCAGACTATATGAACTCATTTCAGAAACAAATAAAGGACGAGATTTTATTTTTAAATACTTTGGTTAAGGACTAAACATTTATTGACACTGTGTTTCAGTACATTGATCTATGTTAACTGATGTGGAATGTCAGAACTTGCTAGTGGCATTGGATGCTTTAATGACTATGTCAGGGAAGTTTTAGATGAGTTCCTACCATTTGTTTGGAACTGATTTTATATCCATATTTTGGAAACAGAAAATCCTGTTAGGACTCAAAAATATAGAATCATAGTGTATACATGTATTCAGAGAGTGTTTTGTTTTGATGCAGAATTTTTGAACATGGAAGATGATGGACCACTGCAGATGGCCTGGTCAGAACTTTCTTTCATCGAGAAGGAACAGGAACAATACGCAGAACTCAGAGCTAGCACAGAGCATGAGCTGGAGGACTGCAGGCAGCGGGGTGCTGCACTTGAAAATGTAATGCAGTTTGCTACTACTATTCATATTAACAAGCCCTGATTATTATGAGCTTCTTTATAATATCAATTGTGCACAAGTTGAAACCATAATTCTGTTTTATGATATGAATGGGCATGGATAACTCTCTCTTCTGTTGAAATTTTTGCAATACCCTCTGATACTTTCCACTTTCTACTGAGATCCATTTAATTTCCTTCAAGCTTCCTTAAATAGCAAACCTGTAATTTTTTAATGCTGCAGTCTACTTTAACTTCTCTAACATGCAATAATAATAATAATAAGATATCATGTGCCCAGAAAATTTCAACCCAAAACTATGACCTGTTCAGGAGCTCCCATCACAGATAAGTTCAGAGGAAGAGCGTGAACTGCTGGCCCTCATGTGCCGTGTCCATGAACTTGAGGTGGAGAAAATGGCACTACAGAGTGAACGCTTCATCAAGCAGCATGAACTGTGGAGAAGAGATCTTGTCATCTTTCGTTATGATCGTCAACGTCACCTCTGCGAGGAAATCATCACTAGACAGCGTCAGTTAATGGAGGGTAAGTTAACCACAAGATATGGTACCGGAATCTTTATATTTGATCATAATATTATAGCATGTTCCAGTCACAGTGGCCGCATGGTATAAGGTATGAACAGTCTTCGCTCGCTTGAAATTGGGATCATCAATTCGAATCTCACTCAAAGCATGGATGTCTCTGTGTGCGTTTATTCTGTGTTTGTGTTGTCCTGTGTGTAGGTAGCGTTCTTGCAATGGTTTGATCACTGGTCCAAGGAGTTCTACCATCTGTGTAAAAAAGATTATGAAACCAAAGAAGAGGCCAAGGCCCAACAAATGGTTGAATGAATGAATTGTAGCAAATAGACTCATTGCTATGTAATGACTCTCTAAACAATGCCCGCTGCTAGGCAACAGATTCTTAACATGCACCAAAGAGCTAACTGGGAAACAGTGTTTTCTGCGTAGTCTGCTAAGTAACAATTGAATGTCAACAGAGGAACCGTGTTTTCTGTGTGGTCTGTGCCAAGATGTTATAAGCAGACAATTAGTGAGTGTTAGTTAACTGCAGTGCAGGGAAGTGAAAATTTGGCTGGTAAGCTAGTGAGTTAGTCAGGGAACTGCAGTTCAGTCCTTGTGAGCTGTTACTGCTATGAGCTGGAAGCTGAGGCATGGGGATAGTTCAGGGACCCAAAGTAAGGGAAACATCCGCAACTGGAAGCCATTACCAGGTAAGTACTGATGATGAGACAGCAGACTGGGAAGACTGTAGTGAACTGCTGAGTGTGGGAATTTAGCGATAGCATTATATTTGCTCCTAATTACGATCTGGAAATCCAATTACCAATCCAAACCAATCCATGTCAAACTGGCTCTGTTCCTTTTAGAATTATTTAGAAGTATTACATTCTTCCACAAGACTGTGGCTTCAGTACTCATTATTTCAATACCCCCCAAAACATATTTTACTTTCAGTTTCTGTTAAGGACACATGTATCCTGGAGCTAACAACAGGACCTGTAATAAATGAGTTCTCAGCCACAGTGCTGCTTCTATTCAGCTATGCCTTACATCTCTTTGGTACATATAGAATGGTGAATTAAAAAAAAGTTGTCCCTGTGCTTAACTAATTAAGCAGGAAGTCATGAAGACGTATGGGGGGGTGGATGTATAGATCCACATATTCATATCCTCAGCATTAGTTGGAGGTGAGTGGTCAGCTTCATATCCTTGCCACTTTAGCCCCAGGAAAGGAGCCCCCAGTACCACTGAATAGGAAACTGAACTGGGCCCCAGAACTGGTCTCAACAAATATAAGTGGTTCCACACAAAACTGAATGTTATGTTGTTGTTACTGCTTTCAGAAGGCTGTGTCACTCTGCCCCAAGATCTCAAAGAACTGTACAGAATTTACCAGCAAGAGATTCATGCATCCACATACACAGATGCCAGTCCAAGTTACCAGGTGAGATAGATCCATGCCAGTCCAAATTACCAGGTAAGATTGTTACATTAGACTTCTTAGGTTTCTCCAGCTCACCACAGAACATAATGATTGTCCCTTTTAAATAACCTATTCCTGAAATTTAGCATGAATGTCATGACAGTGGGGTCACTTATTAACTGCACTTTCTTGCTCTCAACCAGCAATGATATTAAAATACTAACTGCACAAGCTTCTTGGTTGTGAACGGTGAACAATGTGGTAATAAGTTTTTGAAAAATATCCAACTTTTGTTGGTGTTCTGTTCTTGCTTATGTGCAAGTTCTTGGTCATCTTCCATTAACTTTCTAGCATAAAGCAGTACTTCTGTTTCTTGATATTGTAGTAAATGATAAGCATCTAATGTTGAAATGTATTCCTGACAAGAAGTTAAATATGTGGATGGGTAGACAGGTACCCTACTGTGTGCAGGCATACAACATGCTTGCCATGCATCATCTGTGTGTTTGACAGTGACTAATCAATCATTCCAGTGAAACATGTAAAATTTAGTATGAAGACAGACCATAAACATATCTGCAAGTTCTGTATGTAAAATCAGTTTTGAATGTTAAAATTATGAACATATCATAATTCATAGGAAGTTTGATGTTATGTTTGACAAATTCTGGTACTGAAAATATGTATTAATGCAAATTATGGGTATGAATAGATCACAAAGTTCTATACTAACTGCTTTCATTAATAATCTCCCTTATTTCTTTGCAGTCTGGTGTACCTTTCAGCAGTTATACCAGAGACAAAGGCAAGCTGCCACCCATCCAACCTAGGTAATTTACATGAAAATAACCATTTAGCAGAATAGAGTAGCCCCAGATATCAATTTCATATTGTAAAATTTCATGTACAGGACATGCTAAACACAAGAATCACACTGAAAGTACATATTTTGAGTACTGTTATGTGGCATGCTACAATATACATACATAAAGTTTCCCATATATTATATAAATTTCTTAGTATTAAGCACAAAAAATAATAATTTTTTTAATTCCCAGCAGGCACCATATGATGGCGTGAGATCAAGAGAGTGGGAGGAGAGGGAAACTGAATGAAGATGTGGCGCCTTTGGAAAGTGTGCAGCAACATATCTAGGATTGCCTGGGATTATGAGTACAAAATAATAGCAACAGATACACCAAAAAGAGAAAAATATATAAACAGACCATAAATATAAGCACTCAAAAAATAACAATGTTGTAACAATCTTGCTGAAACTATTCTGAGAGACAAGAAGATTTCACTAATATCTGTATTATATTTTTTGCTTTTGTCTATTTTCTGAACTCAAAATTAGGCACCTTTCCTAAATACTTTACAACTTGATCCCATGATGAATCTGTTTCATTAAAAAAAGAAAGAAAGAAAGAAAGAAAGAAAGAAAGAAAGAAAGAAAGAAAGAAAGAATGCTCCATACTGAAACCTTTATACATGAATTAATTGAGCTTTTGCAGCCATTTAACATGGGGTAACTATTATCTCTCTGACACATTAGAGTACCGACAGAGATGCTGCCACTTCTGGGGCTTTTCTGTGTGTATGTGTGCATGTATACATATGAGAAGACAATATGAATGAGGGTTTGAAAACTAAGTATTCAGGAAAATATTTTAACATAATAACGATGACTTGAGTAACATATTGCAAGGAACTAGGTGGGTTGCAGAGGGCACCTACTGAATTACAGGATGGTATGATGGGCTGAGCATGTGACTAGGATGGGGATGACAACATGTGAGGAAATCTTGCGGCAAAACCTTTACTTAAACTTATATTTAAGGGATGAGAAGGCAATGGGAGAATAACATTAATGCAGAACTTTGGGAATTTAACTATGGTTGGGATATGGATGGAAATGACTCTGGATTGTATCCATTGGTGGACTTCAACATAAGTGGTTTTGAACCTTCAGGTGCTTTAGGTTCTGCTACCCATGTTAGTTTATTCTATTCTGAGCCATATTATACAATCACATCAACACTACTTCAGCATGATAAATACTTCAGTCCTACACAATCCTCTTTCTGTACCTAGTGCTGAGCCACTCTTCCACCGGTCTATGAGGTACACTGCTGACCATGGTTCAGATCAAGCAGGAAGTGATGACATAAGCATGAGGACACCAAACAGGTAAATAAATTCCCATATTGAGGAATTTATGCTCTGGCTGCAGTTTCAATGGCACACAATTCCAGTTTTTTTTAATTATAAGTAACATGTTTGGAGAAAATGAAGGATTTCAGAGCAAATGCTAAGCACACACTGAATTTAGAAACCAGAGATATGAAAATAAGTTATTAGGAAATTACTAAGCGACTAAACTTTGATGTATTTTTTCAGGAAAATGAACATTCATGTTAGCAAATTTTAGAAAAATATTCAATAAGTTATTATTATTATAGTCCTCTCCAACAAAGTGTTCATTAGTTTCATATTCCAATGGAACAAAAATCATTATGCAGTATCATATAATTTCTTTCAACTGCAGGAAAATTAACATTCATTTGCACATTCATTGTGTTAGTTCTTCAGTAAAGCATTAGTTTTCTCCAGTCACTGATTACCAGGCTACCCAGTGAAAGACTAATTCAGTCCAATTGCAATCAGCTGTCTGTATGGATTATGTTAGGCCTGTATTTGGATGTCACCTAATGTAGCTTGGTTTGCAGCATGGTCCAGAATTCAGTGGCCCTCTCAGAGTCACTTCAAGTAATCTAGTAATGCTTATGAAATATATGCTTATATGGCAGAGCATTGATGTGTGTCCACATTTTTCTATGTTGTATTTTCACGTGTAGACAGTGGCCTGGTGCTGTTCTGATCTTAAATTAAAAAAACTCTGATCAAGCATCTAAAGGATTCATTGTTTCAGAACTTACCCTCAATCAAAACAGTCAGAAATGAATGTGATGAGTGGTCTTAGGTTACAGAAAGTCAAATCCTGGAGCTGTTGTATCAGTATAAACTAAAAGGTGGAAGATCGCAGAGATGTCCCTCTAACAAAGAGAAATAACAGTTTTGATCCCACTTCTGTAATAGGTCAAGAGCTTAATCTTGATATTGAAGGGCATCAACAAAACAAGCAAATGCATAAACATGTGAAAATTAAAGAAAGATTATTTGAAGTAATAAACAGAAGTTCTATTTATACTAAAGAATGTGAAAATTACAGCTTGTAGTTTGGTGTATGCTATCTAAGACTCGCTTTTGCATAGCAGTATAGAATATATGCTTCATTGTTAATATTATTTAGTAAGTCAGCGAATGAGTAGGTTAGTTTTTAAAGCCAGATAAAACAGCTACTGAAATTCCTCTCCTGCTGTGGCTAAAACAAACTAAGAGTTATTGCTACTGTAGATGTGGATCATGTATGTACATAAAGGTCCCTCTTGGTGTGATTAGTTCTGCAGGTTCAGACTACACACCATCGCCTCTTCCTCCGATCCCAGGAAGTGCAGGGACTGGACAAATGGGACAACTCTCTTCTCTTCCTCCACCAGCTGTGCTCTTCCCTCCAATTGCTGGACCTACCAAAGGCTTGCCTGATACTTCCAAGTACCTCAGTCGATATGTCTAGTTCTTGTCATTACTACTTCCTTCTTCTCTGTTGTGTTTTCTCTATGCCTGCTTATTATATTCATAAAAGCTATAAATAAATATGTTATTTTTCAAATTGAAAAGTGTAATTCCTTTTAAACACATGTTATATAAAGATAATAAAATTATTCTCTATAGCATAGTCTGGATATGTATGCAACTTTTTTCTTGGTGCTCACAGAATATTTCACAAGTATTTTCAAGGATTTAGAGAGTTTAGTGATGTATTATACATGATCTCTCCAGAATGGAAGAAGTCAATGGCTGAAATTACAAATAAGGTAAATGGACAATTAATTTTCTTTTTCTCCCTCCTTACAAATTGAAACATACCTTGGAAGTTTACTTTACAATGACTGAGTTTGCCATTGACCTCAATCCACTTGCTATTCTTCAGTGGAACACATCAGGTGATCAGAATGCCCTTGATTTAGTTTTGGGGCTGGACCCCATGCCCTTTTGGCNCCAGATTCTATAAGCCAAAAATGAGGAAACTCCAAATTAGTAGAATCTCTGAGGCAACACCCACACAGAACCTAATATCTTCTACTTATTTTCACCCTAAACTGTTGTGGTGCTGTTGTAATTCCTGGAACACATGAAGTGGAAGGTGGAGGGTGTCCAGCAGGTAAACTGAAGGAGAATTCTTGAAGCAAAGTTGTGTAGAATATAAATAGGCTACTCCTTACCATCACTTCTCCCAAACAGGTTCTTTTTCCAATACCAAAAGGAACCATCCACTCATCCTTTACAATGTTACCATATTCATCCAGGAAACGTTCAGGTCTGAAAGTTTCAGGATCACCCCAGTGTTCTTTGTCATGCAAGAGACACCACAGACTTGCTATAACTGTTGTATCCTGGAACATCCCACCAAGCAACAGACAGAAATTATGAGTTAGCACATTAGAAAGTACAAATGAAATTCACTAACTCTCTGGTAGCAGGAATCAGAGTTTCAGCATTACTAGTATCAAAGCCAATCACTGGACAAAATCCTCAGCTAGTTTCGCCAACTCCCATCCTTAAATTTATCCTACTACTTCATAATCAGCCTACCAAGAAGTTACCCCATCAGAATTCCATACACATTTCTTTTTGTTTTCCCTGTCTAGGCAACATGTTTTATCCATTGTGTCCTTAAGTTCATTACCATTACAATTCTAGGTGATCTAGTATGTAACCCACAATACTCCAAGTCACATTAACATCCTGCAAGTTTCCCAATTATTTTTTTATCTTATAGGTACAAATATGATTCTAAGCACTTTATTTTCAAACTCTTGTAATGTACACAATATCTAAATCAATAACACATGAGGCAAAATCAGTAAATAGGTCACACATGAAAGTAGCTGTAATGGGCATAATAGGTTTTCTGTGTGTATCACTAGGTAGCAGCACAGTCCACCTTCATGATAGTCTAGGTAGCAGACGCAAATGGGCATGTTCAGAGGCTGGTTTCAGAAGTAAAAAGGGCAACCACACTTGAGAAGTATACTACCGAAGAACAGCGTTTTTTTTGTGTGTCTTTTGTGAGCAAACGGGCCCAATGCAAACGATATTCATAAATATTTCCTATTTACAGTGGGAAGTGTTGGTTACATAAAGCAGTTCACGATTGGGTCAAGAAATTCTCTCAAGTATGTTCAAATGTTGCAAATGATGCCCGACCAGGTTGCCCTGTTAAGATTGCAACAGAAGCAAGTCTGCAGCGGGTGGAAGAGTTGATTTGAGCTGACATGAGGAAAACGATAGACAGTGTAGCAACTGCACTAGGGTGATCCATGGTTTAGCATACAGCATAATTCATGATTGTTTAAAGTTTCAGAAGTGTACCATAATGAATGCCCAGAGAACTGAAGGATCAAGAAAAAATTAACCAAATGGGTCTGTCCTTGCAACATCTCTTACAGTATACAGATGAAGGAGGAAATATGCTTAACAGGACTGTTACTGGGGATGAATCGTCAGTGAATCACTTCCGGCCCAAATCGAAGAGTGTTTCAATGCAACAGAAACATTCCAGTTCACCTTCAAACAAAAAGATTAAGGTTATGTCATCAGCTGGGAAGGTTATGCTTATAGTGTTTTGGAATTCTCAGGGAGTACTTTTAGCCCATTTACAGAAGCGTGGTGAAAATCTGTATTCTGCATCATACTATGAAGTTCTATTGAAGCTTCAGAATGCATTTGCAGAAAACTTCCAGGCCAACAGGCAAGAAGGGTATTGCTTCATTATGACAATGCCAGACCCCATTCAGCCTGAACAACCCAGGAGAGAATTCAATAACTACAGTGGGAACTTCTTGAACATTCGCCTTACAGCTCAGACTTGGCCCCTAGTGGCTTTTGTCTGTTTGGTCTGATAAAAAAAAAACCTTGGTGTCAAATGTTTAGCTAGTGACAAAGAAGTTGAAACAGAGGTGCGGGAGTGGCTAAGACAATAGTCGAAAAACCTTTACTACAGTTTTTGACACACTGCTAAAGCGACAGGACAAGTATATCAATATTGGTGGTGGATATGTAAAGAAATAAATGTTTTTCCATGTTCAAATATTGCATACTTTATCTTTGATATCCATTAGTGACCTATTTACTGACTCTGCCCTGAACAAAGGTAAAATATTAAAGGTGATTTTATTATAATGTGGCATATTTGCTCAAGGTAAAAACGGTGAAGCCAGCAGAGAGAGCTGTTGCTATAGAATGGCTCTGCAAACACGCCCATTGCTAGGAAACAATTTTGTAACATGTAACACTGGAATAACTGGGAAGCAGTGTTCTCTAAGCGGTCCATGCTGATAGCTACATGATGCAACAACAGGAGAACTATTGGGAGAAATGTTTTCTATGCAGTCTGTGCCAAGCCTACATAAGGGGTCGATTGTGCATCTTGAGTTATTTCAGCAGTTGGTAGCAAGTAGCTCAGCTTGGGAGCTGCAGCTGATAGGTGCCAGCCAGCGAGGACAGAAGCCATTGGACATGGAAGCCATGGGTGCTACGCTGTTGGAAGATTCCTCCAAGCAGCACAGTGAAGACTGTGTCTAAGAACAGTACTCTTTGTGTGACAGTTATCTGTAAAGTGTAGTCACAAGTTGTGACTGAAAGTGTCCAGTAAATCCAGTTACCAATCCGAACCCCATCTATAATTGCTCTATCATGTGACAATAAGTTTTCATGAAAAATTGCATAGCAATTTGATAGGTCTCATTTCTTCTACATAATTGCCCTCTTTTTTAATGTTGTCAACTGACCCACAGGTTCCTTATTTCCACCATTTGCTCATTTCAAATGAAACTACATCAGTGCTGATCTTTTTTCAGTTGTCCTGGATATAATAATCATTCTGCACCTTAACCTCAACAAGGTAATGTCAATAGCCAGACCCTGCATCAGCAGCACTTGTACACTCTCCTTTCAATCAGTTCACCCATTCATAAATTTCCCTTCAGCTTAGACAGTCATTACCAAAATAAGCTGTCATTCTGTAAATTTCACCAGGTTCACACCTTCTGACCACAAATTATTATTCTTTGGTACATTTTATCAATGGCACAACTAAGTTAAATTTACCACTACTCAAAATGCAATGAAAATGAACTAGATTTAAATGAGGGAAGGTTCATATAGTTTGGATCTTCCATCTTTTTAGTGCTACCAATATCACTTTTAAAGTAAACAAAAACTACATTAATTGGTTTTCTCTACTTCATATGACTGACTATATTAGTCTTTAAGTAATAAATCCAATACCATAACAAACAAATGAACTTATATTACAGTAAAGAAATCTATCGCAGTATACCTTAGGGATGTTATAGCCATTTAGAGTTAAATCTTGAGTAACACGATGTGCTGGTGAAACTGGAGCTACAGTGTTGATACGCATTACCTCATACAAGACAGCATCAACGTACTGCAGTCTGCAAAATGTAGTTCATTCACATCAGTACTACTATACAGAGTATAGAGGCTACAAATTAGAAAAAAAAAGGATGCTACTATTTTAAAAATTGTGGAAATATGTATTTTAAATTGGAATATACATATTTTCCAAATATGTTCCTTCAAAATTTTCTATACTTCAATGACCTTGATATTCATTTACTACTGACACAAATATATACTGTTGAAAAGTTAAACACACTACAGATACCACACTATACAGTCATAATATCTTTTTCCCTTTAGTAGGATTTACAGATACACATCTGGCACAAACAGTCAATAATATTATACATCGTTGATAGCTTTTATTATTCACTTCATATTTCAGTTTGAAGGAACCATCATCAGGTGGGTGGTAAGTGCATAGATACCAGATTTCATAGATATGAACCTTGAATGAGTGTGTCTGTAAATCCTATTAAACTGACACAGATACTGTTCAACCTGTGAACATTCTTTTTCCTTGTATTTTATTAAACACACACCATGTTTCTTTTTTGTTGGTTATTTAATGCTTTCATTATTAGCACTATAGAGCTTGGGATAATAGGATGATTGATAAATTTGAAAGATTCAGAGGCAAGAATTCATGACCTAATCGATGTATCATCATGGAAATTTCCTGGAAGGAAAACCACAAAAGAACCTCCATCAGGATTGGCTGTCAAACTGATGACCTCCTGAATACAAGTTTAGATTGTCATTTCTAGATCACCTTCAGTCACAGGCACACAGGCTGATGTGTCCTTCTAAGTATCAGTGTTCTGTTTTCTGAAGCATATGGACAAGCAAGTAATGAAAATATAAACATTTTCACTAAAGCATAAAATAAATATATAAATTCCACAGAATTATATATATAAAATCTTAAATATTAAATTATGTGATCAACCAATAAAACCTAAATTATATGAACATCTGAGGATCCCCTAACTTAAAAAAAATCCAATGGAAGACAAAACTCATCTGATCAAGACATTACTCACTATCATTTACAAGACCAAAATGTTTATTTCTGTGTTTATAAGAGCCTTCCACTGGATCCTATCATGAGCCAGATGACTAGTCAATATTCTCATGTAATATTACCTTAAAATCCACTTTAATATTATGCTCCCACCTATGCCTCGACCGCCAACATATGACTACTATTAATTCCTATTCTAATCATAATTCAAATTCCAAGCTCCTAAATGATAACATGGATAATATTACAACTGACAACCAACCACGTTACTGCGTACCCCCATCAGGTAATATGTATAAAATACAATTAGTTACACTCTGTAGCTTTGGTATATTGTATATTGATTTCTTCTCCCTCTCACCTATTACATTCTTACACTGATGTCATAGTTCTATCTTTATACAAAATATTTAACCAGATGCCTTCATCCAATTTAGTATAAAAGTTCTTTTCTCCTTGTCAATATTAAGGTTCTCTTAAAGCTAATAAAGTTATCTTAGGCTTTGGTTTCTATACCTTGGTCTGTCATCTAAGTGTGGACGCCTGTCTCTTCCAACCACATCATCAAGCATATTTTGAACCTTCCTCTGTACCTCTGGGTATAAAACAGCATAGAGCACAGTAAAGCTAAGAGTATTGCTCACAGATTCTGCGCCAGCCGCAAATAAGTCAAAACACGTGATGATTAGACCATCTTCTACAAACAGAAAACCATACTTGGAAAGATCAGGAATTTCTGTCTGATAATACTCAGTGTCATGTACTGGCACTTTTCTAAAAGAATACAAAAGTAAACATATATTTATTATATAGTGTTCAGTTTTACACTTTCACATTCACAGTACTCATATGTTGTTTTTTATAATCTATAAAAAAATGAAAAATCATATCATTTATTATTTTTCTGCATTCATAAATTCATTCCTAAAATACAGCATGGATGCAATTTCTGAAAAATTTGGGAAGTTAAGGTCAAGTATATGAAGGTGTTAGATATTTATTAAATGGCTGGTGGGAATATATTTTGTTTTATTTTCTCAATGTTGGTTTCATTAATAAATTTTTATTGTAGCATAGAAAATAGAAAGTATTAATGGATAAATGACACATGAAAATAGCCAGCTAACACACAGGAGAAAGTTTGTGATTGAAGTTTTCCAAACTCAGCAGAAACTGCAGCAGTCACTTGCATGGAAACCAAAGGTCCATTTCCATGTTCACAAGATCTTGTCACTGGACTTTATACAGAGCTAAATGAATCCAGTCTGGATACTCATACCCTATTTCTTCAATATCTCATCTAACACCATTTTCATACCCATACCATACCAACTATAACCTGTAACAGGCCGTGAAGGCCCATAGGGTTATGAGAGGTTGAGTCTCCCACATTTTCTCTAGACCTTAGGCACTGGCCGCCCTTTACCCCCAGGAAAATTTCTAGTACTCATTTCTCTTAGAGGCTGAGTTGACCCCAGAGACATAATGCAGCTGGAAGGATTAGGTCAATTGAAAAATCCTCTGACCTCTTCAAGATTCGATCCCGCAGCCTTCCAGCTTGTAGCATAGTGCCTCAACCAACTACGATACCGCGTGCCCTCATCATGTAATACGTATAAAATACAATTACAGTTACACTATATAGCTTTGGTAGGTCACTCATCCCAGACAAAATGGGCAACTGGGTTTTTGGAGCCTCCTGTATACACATGCATATGATCACACACCAGACAAAGTAAATGATAAAATTGCCACACAAGGTGATATAAATGGTAACATTTTGTATGTGGTTAAGTACATGAAGATACATGATGGAGTTTAAGTAAAAGTCCAAACAGTCTTACTGTTGTAACTAGATGGAAGTGCATGGTGAGTTTCATGCTTCATCCACTTTACCTTTGGGGAAAGAGTTCCAATGAATAGGAGGCTGGGTGGGCCTCAGTGTCAGATTGGATGTTATGACAAAGAGAAAAATTCCTGCTTCTACTGAACCATTCATCTAGCCCTTAGTCAGTCATTTTACTGACTAGGATGTCCTGGTTTGTAATCTATACAAATAACTGTTAGAATTTGTGACACATTCAAAGTAACGACAAAAGTGCCAGCAACATTTAATGGATTAATAACCGTCATTCTTATGTTAAGTGGTGTGTAATCCCTTTCAGAATTTTTGACTTGATAATCTCGGAATATATACTGTCTGTAGTGTCATGACACAAAAAACAGAAAAAGTTCTTGTTTACTGAGAAGGTCTTCAAAGAATAATAAGTACTATCATATATCTCTTAAAATATGATTCAACCACACAATACCTGAAAAAGTTGAGGTTTTGTTGCCACTTTGATACTTCATTTCTTTCAAGTAGACATCAATGAAGTCTCTGAGGTCATTTTCTTTGAAGGTCTTGTCATGTTCTCTGATAACATTCTGAAAACAACAACTTATTGTACAGAATGACACGAAAGTTAGTTAACTCATTAGTAAAATGTACTGTCATGTGTTGGGTGTATAACGCGACAAATAACTTTATGCCACATTGAATATAGCGAATTTATTCCACTCGCTCTTACAATCACACAGTTTACAATCTCACAATTACTACTGCCATCTGCAGCATCACAATTTATCACATCAAATCTTCCAACCATGTGTTCGGTTCTTCTTCCTGCGACTGCCGGTATATTCCAACTGTCTTCGGCAGCTGCTACGTTTTAACTTAACTCCTTAGTCAAAGTCAAAGTCACATTGCGACTGACGGTCAGTCAGTCTGTCTGTCTTCGTGTCGAGCCCCATTAATTGCTGTTTATATATACAATATATACAAGGCCTCTGTCAATCCAGGCTCAGTACAGCAGATTTTGCCCAATTTCTAGTAGTATTCGCTACCACAGTAGTCTAGTCACTATAGTGTTCGCTGCTCCTTATTCAGGCTGGACACGGACAACAGAGAACACCTTGCTGCTCGGCAACATATCAGGTACTGTTGTCAGGTGTTTCTACCTACGCATTGCTTAGCAATAGTCGCNGCCTGCCTCCACACGGGGTTAACTCCTTATGCAGTGTGGTTCTCTTATAAACCCTCAGCCAGACAATGGGAAAACGCCTCGCTTCGTTGCTTTGTCGTGGTGTTTATGGGCATTGCTGGGCAATGCTGTCGGGAGTTTACTGCTGCATAGCAACCGCGGCATCCCCCGCTACGTCACCGCGGGGGAGGGGATGGAGTGTTGACTGGCCTGTTACCGTAGTAGCAACAACGCCCGATGTTGTTACGTCACCGCTGGTGGGGGAGGGGATGTCCTCCATAGCGCAATACGTCACAGTACATTAAAATACAATAGAAGTATCTTTAATACTTATTGAACTTATAAAATATTGTTTGATATGACATCCTCCATGTTCAATGCACAACCCATAATGCTGTGATAGTGCTTAATGAATTGACTGACAGGTTAAATCTGGATATTCCAGTTAATACAAGAGAATGTTTTAGATTAACTGACTTTTAGGCCACTCTGTATTTTATATTATTGGTAGTAAGGATTCTATAGGTCAATGTACATGACTTTCATGTCCATCATGTTCTTCATTGCTTATGTTATTTTACTGTCCATTTGACATCAAAATACAGATTGAACTAATTCATGAGGAACCTACTACTACTACTACTACTACTACTACTACTACTACTACTANCAGCAGCAGTAGTATTTGGAGAAGGAGGAGCAGTAGTCTGTAAGAAGCATATTTACAATTGCAAGCAATACAAAATAGTTAACATACATCAGTAGCAGATATTAATATATTTCTATGAATGATAATAAAAAAAAATGGGTATCTGGGTTTCATCAAGTGGCTGGTAAGTTCAACTTCAATTTGTGGTGTCCAGTTTGCTTCCTTTCTTTCTGAGTTAAGAATTTGATGTTGGTAAAATACTACAGGTGCCACTCACTTTGAAAAATGCCTTGAGATTATTAATATGCTCCTGATTTTCCTTGTAGCCTGATATTTGAGGAGCAATTTTTTTGAGAGCAGGAACAGCATTTACAATTCCTCCAGTCTGAGAGCCTCTACGAAATAGGCGAGTAAGAGCATGGAGAAGAGCTTGAAGGCGATCATCATCTCGTGAATATCTTGCTCCTGCCACCAGAGCCCAAATCACATTCACTGTTGAGGGCCCAAAATATCCAGACACCTTAAACACACAGAAAATAAGTTATTTAAATATTACTTCTTATACAGATCATAAGATCACCATATCAGAACTTTGTGAACGTGAGGGACAGTTGACCTTGCACAGAGTTCACATAAGACTGCAGGTTCACACTACCAACCACTATTTCCATCCATATTTCTATGATGATAGTGATGATGATGATGATAACGATGACGATTACAACAACGAAGATAATTATGACAATGATCCTTTATCTTCTGCTTTATTTCTTTTTCTTTAAGTTCTTATTTAACAACGCTCTCGCTATCAAGACTACTTAGCAGTGATTTTCTTTCTCATTTATTATCATCAACACTGTCACCATCATCTTTGTCGTCATGAAAATTACCAAGTTGCTGTTGAACATGAGTAATATTATCTGTCCACAGTGTGATCCTAATTAACATTAAAGAGTTTCCAGTATTGCCAAGGGCTGGTGGTGTAGCCAAATACTTTTAACACTGGCTATAACGAGCAAAATGATACAATTAACAATTTTCTTCTTCAGTGATTAATTATAAACACTGTAGTGAAATTAAAGCTTTCCTTCTCTGAGCTACATATTTCCATCTTTCAAAGTTGTATTTGTATCCTTATAAATGTGAATCTATTTTCTACATGATATGTGCTTCTGTGGATTGCTTTACCAGAGTTATTCGAATTGTGTGGGATGTATTATTCAAGCTGCAAAAAGTACATAAGATCAACTTTCTTCTTCAACTACTGCATTAATATTATCCATAGATTCATATATTTCCCTACATGGCTTGTACTTTTAGGTCTTGTTTTCAGTTAAGTTGTCAAAATTATATAGAATGAAACTACTGAAGCTATACAAACTATATCTGACATTGCTTTGTACAATATGGTAATTTCAGGACAGCAGCCTCTTTATCTGTAAATAAATCAGTGTGCAAGAACAGTATTTGTATTATTTGTACCGATCATTTTTCTTCAATTTCCAATAGCTCAATAAAACACTTTTGTACAATTAAGCTTTAGAAACCATTACACAAAGTTATCACCTGAAATTCTTCACGTTGTCTTAGCTCTTTTACGATATCTTCAACTTCTTCAATAATTGAAGCTACCATGATACTCCTACCAAATCCAAGATCTCTCAGATGATGCAGGGTAAAGCGCCGCTGTTCTACCCAAAATGGGCCATCACTGAAGAAAACACCTGGAATAATATACAGATAAATATCTTCAATTCAGTGAAGTGTTAAAGAAAGAGTGTAAATGTTTAATAAGGCAGTTAGCAGTAATTCAGATTGACAATCCAATGCAATACATAACATTTCTGGCTTAGCTCATGAGTTACTGTTCTGGTGGATCAGTTTTACAACAAAATTTAGAAGAAAGCATTTAACACTATTATAAAAGCATATTAACTCTGTCCGGTGTGATTAATAATTTTTTCTCCTTTTTAATCTTTCATCCCTGACATTGTTCGGTCTAAAAGACCATCTTCAGAAGGATATATCAATACAGGCAGAAAATACTATTACAATGTGACTGGTCAATATCAATTCATAAAAAAAAAGTAACGCTATCCTTGTAACAGGCCGTGAAAGACCATAGGGTTGTGAGAGGTTGAGGGTCCCACATTATCTAGACAATCGGCTCATAGATGGCGGTAAGGTTGTCAGCCTTACGTGCCGGCCGCGCTTTACTCCCCAGGAAAAGTATTTAATTAAATCCCGGTACTCATTTCTGTTAGAGCCTGAGTCAACCCCAGGGCCATAGTGCAGCTGGAAGGTTTAGGTGAACTGAAAAAAAATCCAATGACCTCATTGGGACTTGAAACTGCGCAATATCAATTCATACATACAGTATAATTACATTACACTGAATATGAAATCTGACCCTTTAACAAGTACAGCGATGTGCATGAATATATTAAAATGTTGTAAATTTTCAAAATTAGTTTGTTTACAAGTTTGATTTAAAAAGATTTTGTTAAAGTTAGAACCAATTTGGTTCGTGTTATTTATACTGCCTCTCTTTAAAGGAAGTTGAGTGTCCCCTACGTCGAGGCTCCACTGTTTAATGAATAGGACTCTTTCGTGTTGTCCTGTTGTTCGGGCTGCACTGTGTTGTCAAAACTGAAACATGTCAAGGATGAAACAGTAAAAAAGATAAAAAAATTGCATCAGTCACACTGGATGTAGTTGGTAACCTTTTATAATATTGCTAGTGTGACGGACCAGGATGAATCAAATTGCTTTTAACTTAGTTTATGTTGGTCTTGTGGCTACTCATGAAAATCTTAAGAAGTAAATAAAATATATCTAACAGTACCAGTAGTCCAAAATCGGAATTTAACTTGAGATTTATTTCACTTTAGCTTAATTTCAGACACAAATTCAAAGTTTCAAATTTATTCATGGAATGATAATTTTCAGTCAGATATTGCCATTCATAGTCCGTTTTCACAGATCAGTTTTGTCAGTACCACTAGTATTTCTAATTAATCCTAATATCCCTCAACAAAACCAGAGCATATGCACATTACAATTTCCTTTCAATAAGACCCCCATAAGTCTCTGAACAACTCCGAGAAAACATATGAATTATGTGCTGGCTGACACTAATTTCAAGCCCCTGCTACCATATTTAAACATTCAATTAGTCACGTTATATCCCATGTTGAAATGACACACAAGCAATGCACACTGGAACAGTGACTGTTCAAATCCAAAACCTATGCCAAAAGTGGTTTTGTAAGGAAAGTAAGGAGAAAATTGGATAAAAAATTTCAGGATGTTACAGTTCCAAATAAAGAAACTATTCATTAATCATAAATTAATTAATGTAGTGCAGGGTCATTAGTGAACCAAAAAATAACAGACTCAAAATGCCAAGTGCTCAATGAAGAGAAAACTGGATGAAATTGGTGTTATGCTTGACAGTAATTCTTGAAAGTCTCTCAGACACCTTGTACAACAGACAGGGTTCAGAAACATCAACTTGAAGAGCCACAAACTTGTCAAATTGAAACTATACAAGATAATAGTAGACAGATGGCACATAATGCACAAGCTTGTTTCATGGATGCTACTGAACAATTTACTGAGGGAGCAGAAGAAAATTGCACAGACTCCTGATTTGATGAGTCTGCCAGCAATAAATGCAAGATGAAGTGATTAGTTCTGCCTCTTCTGCCAGAGCAGTAGAACTATTTTCAATAGTACTCAGACAATTGCCTTGCATAGCACTAACCATTTTTTCCGCAACATCCTGACATAAATATCAGATTCATTTACAAGTGTTCTTCGATTTCTGTCCTTTAATTTTTACATCACATTCTCCTTCCCCTAATATTTACAATTTCTGGGGGGGGGGACGTATTACCGTGGTTTTTGTTAGAAGCTGCATTCTTTAATTTATGTTTCAACATGGATAATTCCTGTCACAATTTAGAATATCTTAAATCTGCTACTAGCTTCGAGTTTCTAATTTACATCACATCATTAAGATGAAGAATATTTTTGCTGTCTGAAAATGATTCCAATAATAAAATATTTCAAACTGAAACTTACCAAGCTTCCTGTTGAAATTTTCTTGCCTAAAGTTTGCATTCTCAGGCCTTCCCTGGAATTCTTCCCTCCGCAAAGCTTCAAGAACCTCAGTGGGTCCACAGATTGCCACAGCTGGTTGGGAGCCTAGCATAAGACCCACCACAGGGCCATACTGCTTCAACCACTTTTCCATCCTCAAATGAAGGTATTTTGAAGGGATAAATGGAACACATCCCACTATAGGTAAGCATATTGGACCTACATCAAATACGTATGATTCACATTAGATTACTGATCAAAAAATTTCACATAATGTGGTCATTACTCTGTAGTGGCAGGCAATACCATCCATTAATTGTACACCTAACTCTATCGGACATGGTAGTCCCATTTCCATAGTTTCATCTTATTGACTAATATACTTAAGTTCAATTATGTTCTGTAAAAATAGAAAAGAATTCAGTATTAAAGACCGTGTATCACATACAACCTGCATGAAGGTGACTTTAATTTATGTCTTAATTTCTTATAGTTACAAGCAAACTTATGAAAGACAGTAGATATTTCACATATGTTATAAGCTACAATTAAAGCTACTTTCCTTTATCTACTTTCCACGGTCTTAAACAGACATATAAAAATTTATTGAGACATTCATCCAAATATTCATCCATGATTGGCTAAAATAATTAAAAATTTACTTTAGGGGAATATACAGCTATGGATTTGGCTGTCTTTTCTCCAGGAAAGCATGTTTGTTGTTGAATGGGCAAAATACCGCCACATGTAGTCATAAAGTTAAAATGCCGAAGACTCAGCTGATATTTGAAAATCATTTGGTAGATTATAACATGGAAACTTTACACTGAATTAGTCATAAGAACATGAATGTTTGATTATTATTGTCGTGTATGAAACATAAGTACTCACCCGGTGGGAAATTTCTGGGCTTCCCCTTAATAATACTGAAGATAAGACAGACCACCAGACAAGCCAGAACAATTGTAAGAAACATCCTGTAATGGCACAAGAAACGAACAAATCATTAAAAAAAAAAACATTATGGTCTATACAACAGCCATCCTGTCTTAACAAATCGAAAGCTCTAATTTATAAACAATATTGTTTTAGTTGAAGAGCAAGTGAATAAAAGAATACATAATCAGAACATAAACGAAAATTGTGATTTTCTGGGTTAGGACACAATACAGTTTACTGCTTCCAGCTTCACTGTAGCCACTCCCCATAAGCCCTCATGGTGTAGTGCCTAATTAGGCAAGCACAGGGACAACTTTACCTTACTTTTACACTATTGCATTTTTAAACAAGCAACAGACAGAGAGAGAGAGAGTGAGTGAGTGTATGTGTGTGCGCGCGCGTGTTAGTAATCCATATGGTAAAGCTCTAGATCCCTACATTCCTTGTATGTACTTGAGTAAGGTAAAATTTTAAGGCCGCGCCATAGCTCAAGTGGTTAGTTGCTGGCTTCCCATCGCAGCGGCCCGGGTTCGACCCCGGATCTGGTCAAGTGGGATTTGTGGTGGGCAAAGTACCGCTGGGGCAGGTTTTCTCCGAGTATTTCGGTTTCCTTTGCCAATCTTCATTCCACCAATTGCTCCACAATCACCCTCACCTATCATCTGGGGCTGGTACAATAGGCCAGAAGTGGTCGCAGTACAAGGGACTTAGTCCCACCCCACTAGCAATAAAAAAAAGGTAAAAATTTGATAATAAACTGAACCATCTATTTAACTATAAACTCCTTGGCTTGAGTACGCAAGCGAACTATACCGACCGAGCGACCGCCGCTTTTCGGCGAAGCTAGTGCCAACTTTTGCGGATAGAGAGTGTCGCGTGGTCAGCGCAACGAATTCCCACGGCCGTTAATCTCGTTTTTCTAGACCTGGACCAAAGAAATAAGTAAGTAAATTTGGAAATGCTGAGGACCATAGTCAACTTCTTTACGTTAAATAATACACTGTATAAACCTGCGTGTGATTAGTGCGGTTGTCGTGTCGTGCACAAGTAACGTCTGGTCTCCCCTGCGTTGAATCATGTTTTCGAAGAAGCGGGAGTGTAACTTACAACTGGTTAGCTTGGGGCACGCGGTAGCATAGTTGGTTACGTTGCTGTTTCCTTGTCTCCTGAAAATGAATTTCGTTGATGATAATATATCGTAGATTTGAATTATGTCTGTTTACTTGGTGTAGATATATATATTATTGATTAATGTAAGTACCTATTGGTGTGCAGTTTCGTTCCTTCTACTGATGTGGTGTTGCATCTGATTTGTTGTTGCGAATGGACTGAAGTTCTCGCAAAGTAAAATCAGGAGTAGTATAGTTTGGGGGGGGGAGTGATGTAGCTTTTGTCTTCTTTTTGGGTGGTGGTCAGGGAAGACGAATTGGTGAATGATTTATTATTATGTAGGTTACACTTTATGATCAGATCGAATATGGGATTATGTTATATTTATATATGTATTGTTCGTTTTTAATTTTTGTTCACTAACACTGTGTACGTAAAAACGTTCCCACGTATTTAATAGACCCTTCTTCCGATGTGGATTATATCTATTGTTTTCTCTATTGTGTCGTATGTGTTGTGTAAATTTGGAGTTCAGTTTGTTACTTTTTATTGCTTGGATTTGTTCCTTAAAGCATATTCCAAATATTCTGCATTTATACTAAAGGATAAAAAAAATGCCTTTCTTATCTATGGATGTTATCAACAGTCACGCTGCACACTTGATAAGCAACAGGCATACCAAAAAAAATATGTGGCATACACGAAGGAACTATACTGACTTCATTAAAAACTATGTAAACACAAGAACACATCGCAGTAGCGCGAAGACACAGCAGTTCTCCCGAATTCCAGCGCACCTGAGGATGGCCAAGTAGGTCGAAACATGTAGTGCAGTGACGAATTTTAGATCTTCATATTCTTGTATGGTGGGCGGTAAACAACTGAATATAAATTCTAAAATACCAACTTCAACAGGACGCTAAGATACATCATGAGGTAACGCTTCTGACTTGTAGCCTGGTGGTGTCCGGTTCAAATCTCAACTGAGACACCTACTATCCTGACGATTTTCGTGGTTTTACTCCTTTCCTTCCTAGCAAATTCCGGCACAGAACCTCAAAATAGGCTAAGACCGCTAGCTTCCACATCATTTCCACTTCAACATTCGGAAACCATCCTACCTTTCGACGCTGTATATTCTCAGATATTGACAGGGTCGTTACATAAACCATAAATAAATAAGTGAAGGCGTCTCTCAAGAAAATTCAGAACTGAATTCGTCTTGTCACGAAAAAAGAAGTTGTGTACCTCTATATACAGTAAAGGGTCTTACCTCTTAGTCGCTCTGTTGTTGAACTATTTCAATGCAAGTCACTGCACTATACGGTACTCGAATGTCGCAGGCACTTAAGCGGGGTTTCCCGTTCCGCGTCACTTTAACTCCACAGAAAGGGCTCACACATATCAGGAAAAGAGGGAATAATCATTCTTCGCTAAGACTCGTTGACACCTGCCAAGTAGTTTGATTTCAAATCGCTGAAAATCCAACACACTGATTTCAAGTTCATGTCCACATTTGAGCAAGTTAACTGGACGTTAGTAAAAGAAATAGGACTCACTGCCAGCTGCCGTCCGCGTGCCTGTCGTTTTCTTACTGAGTGAAACAGCAGCTGTGGCCGCATAAGGGAATAATAAAACGAGGCACGTTTTGATGACGAAGTGCAGAACGAAAGACAATCAGTTCGGTGTATCCAGTACACTTACTAAGGAGATACAGAGATCTGTAAATGTATGAACGACAGCGTAAAAGTTTCATGAATCATCAGGTGCAATAGGACCGAAAATATAGGGAAAAAGTTGACTTTGCTTAGGGAAACAGGATCATCGTGAACCAAACATTAAATTGCACTGCGCTTCCTCCAAGGTGGTTAACAGGCTGTCGTCTATGCAGTAGTGTCTGTACAGTGTTCCTAAAAGCACAGCAGCCCGTACTCTCCGCTACAGGTGTTTCATGTACCTACCGTCTTGCAATTCCTAAGAAACAGCAAGTTTTCTTCCTTCGCTGCACTTACTTCGGCCTGTACAAATCATTACTCCCCGGCACTCTCTTTGGCTTCATGATTTTAGTTCATTTATTTAACTTCGCTTTTCTTTCTGTTACGATATTAGAACTTGCTTCATCTTGTAACATTTTGTTACCTTTGGACTCGCTCCAAAGTAACGCATGCGGGGGAGGGGGGCTGTTTGTTTTCCGTTCAAGTTAGGTAAAGAGTCAAGTTGGAGTTCACAGCTTCCAAGCTGTTATTCAAGACAGTTTAAGTAAAGTAAAAAGTTGAATTTATTCATACTTTAATTGAAACTAGAACTTGAAACACAGTTCATACTTGTCAAGTCCTTTCAATTTGTTTTTAGGCGGCTCGACTGGTGTGAATGAGGATAAATATTCGGGTTTCCCCATGGGGAAACTTAATGAGACCACGCAGTTCATTTCATTGAGTACCGCAGTGACAGCGTTTGTCCTTCATATTGTATAACCAGAAAGTATGTTCCAAGAACTGTTCGCGACTTTCCCAATTCCTGAAACATCGCGAACTTCACGGTTGGAGTAGAACTTATTAAGAGAAAGTAAAATTTTATACTCAAATTTACAGGTGGTGAAAGCAATTTCTTTGGCCGGAGGAAGTTGGAAGACCTATAAGACGAAGAAAATGAAACTCCAAATCATTTAGCAGGGGTCCAATATTTGGGAATTTCATGGCGGTAAAGATTTATATTAGCCGATCACGGTGGCCGGTCGGTCTAAGGCATGAACTGTCTTCGCTCGCTAGAACGCAGGGATCGTGGGTTTGAATCCCACTCGAAGGCATGGAAGCTTGTATGTGCGTTTATTATCTTTGTGTTGTCCTGTGTGGAGGTAGCGGCCTTGAGACGGGCTGATCCCCCGCCCAAGGAGTCCTACCGTCTGTGTAAAAAAAGATAGCCCCAACAAAGGGCTCTTGAGATATTGATGAATAAATGAATGAAAGATTTATATTATGGTCTTACAGGTTGTAACAACATTTCGGAGTAACAAACTACCTGCATCAGCACAGTAAAAGTGATACCTACACTGGAAACAGAGGCACTATTTTCCTCTGAAGTACCCAACTCTTAGAATATACGGTATTTTAACCCAAAGGGCCACAATGCCGACCCATGATTTCCTAATACAAGCAGCAGCCATTAGGAAAGATTTTCAAAATCAATACAAATAACGGGAAATGGAAAATATCTAATCAAGTAACAAGCCGATTTGTCCCGCTCGCTTTATTCAGTTTGTCTTGGGTTGACACCTTTAAGTGACTTTTAATTTCAATGCATTTCCTAGTTGTGGTTGATGTGATCACTCATAATATACTACTAGTGTAGCTGCCTCATGAATTCCATTTTAGTCCACATTCAGATTTGCAAATAAAACACATCTTGTAGTATGTTATGCCATCGCCCTACCTAAACACTGCAACTATTCGCATATTTTGTAATCAGATATAATTTCCCAACATAGTACAATATATTTGAGGAGTGGTCTTTAGGTAAGCAGATTAGAAGAATCACTAGCTCTCTCTTCTTATTCAGGTGAGTTTTATTTTCTGTCACATTTCCCTTCACCAAAACGGTTTGAGAGCTAACAAACAGAGTTTCACTACTCTTCTCCATATGTTGGGATCATTGCTTTAAATTCAGTTACTGTTTAGTGTGCCTGATGTTGCAGATACCATTTCAATTTGTACCTTATTGATATAAAAAAAGGAAAGCTATTCCTGTACCAGACCGTGAGGGCCCATAGGGTTGTGAGACATTGAGGGTCCAACATTATCTAGACCAGACATGTCAAACTCAACTTGTGCAGAGGGCCACCTCAGCCCTATAAATAATAGTCCAGGGCTGCACTTCAAAATAGAAATATACATTAGATTTTGATTTAATTTAATTCTACTTATTATTTAGGAATACTAATTTCAATATAATTACCTAAAGTCACATATCTTACAGTTTTAAAAAGCAAGAGAATGCCATTTTTGACAAGTATCAAACAACTTTTCAATATGTAAAAAGAGAGATTACACAAGAAATTATGTTAGAAATAGCAAAACATTAAATTTCCTGCAGCCTGCTAATTTATGTCTGCGTGAGACTTCTTGTCGTCTGGTCTGCCGGAAAATTGTCTTTACAAAAAATATTTCTACTAAAATTTTAATATTGATTTTAATATCAATTAGCTCTAAAAGTTGAGGGGCCACATGTTTGACACGGCTGATCTAGACAATCAGCTCAAAGATGGCGGTAAGGTTGTCAGCCTTATGGGCCGGCCATGCTTTACTCCCCAGGAAAATTATTTAATTAATTCCTGGTAATGTTATATTTTAGCGTCCTGTTGCACTGATTTAAGTCCATGATTTATTTAATCCGTCTTGCAGTGCATACACTCATCTAACTCCTTCTCTCCCTCGCACTACATGTTTCGGCATAATAATGCCATCTTCAGGTGCTTACTTATCCACGTCAAACCAGTTCATTGCATGCCATGTTCACACACTAAAATAACCAAAACACGTATCCATCATATACCTTGTCAAACGTTAAAATATTAAAATTGTCCAGGATACCACATCGCCACGTCGCCCCTCACTACGTCAGTCACGCCCATTCTCCTTTGTTGGAGCACTCCTTCACTATCTTGTGTGTTGTGCTTTTGTTGTGTTAACACACGCAGTCGCAGGAGCACGACACAACAAAAGCACAACACACAAGATAGTGAAGGAGTGCTCCAACAAAGGAGAATGGGCGTGACTGACGTAGTGAGGGGCGACGTGGCGATGTGGTATCCTGAACAATTTTAATATTTTAACGTTTGACAAGGTATATGATGGATACGTGTTTTGGTTATTTTAGTGTGTGAACATGGCATGCAATGAACTGGTTTGACGTGGATAAGTAAGCACCTGAAGATGGCATTATTATGCCGAAACATGTAGTGCGAGGGAGAGAAGGAGTTAGATGAGTGTATGCACTGCAAGACGGATTAAATAAATCATGGACTTAATTCCTGGTACTCATTTGTTAGAGGCTGACTTGACCCCAGGGCCACAGTGTGGCTGGAAGGATTAGGTCAATTGAAAAAAATTGAACCCGTGACCTTCCGGCTTGTAGCATAGCCCCTCAACCAACTACGCTACTGCGTTCAGAAAAGAAATGTAATCTGAATTTCTAAGTTCTTGTAGTTATATTGATCATAATATTATGTCTCTGTACTGCAATGCCACTGTGTTATTTTGCAGAAAGCCTCACCTGTGTCAAGAATTTATATGAAAACAATTCTTCAGTTTAGTAACTGGAAGCAAACTATCAAGCAGTAGGTAACCTTCGTACTGATGGGCCAATCAGTCTTGAAACTGGTATTTTGTCAAGAAGTACAGATAGGAGTAAAGTGAACAAAACCCGGTATTTCAGGCCAGTACTGTGCAGCTGTTATCTGTATGTCTTAACATAAACGCTATCTGCAAGTTTCTTGAACAAGTGAATTATTCAAGAGACGTATAAATTCCCTATGGAACCCTCAGGTTCACCAATAAGATTAGAAAACCACACTAGAGCCTGTTTAAGTCAGTTAAATTCATTTCACTATGTCACCTCTTTTCTTCTCTAAAACAAATTTGAATATTATCTCCCATTTTTAAACAGGTTTTCCAAGTGGGTTCCTAACTTCTGAATTTCTGATCAAAATATATGCATTTACTGTTCTCCCATGAATACTCAAAACGTTTTCTGTCTGCTATTTTGGTATTATAATGGACTCTAAATTTAATGCTTCTATTTTGGCAGCTTTAGATTACAAATACTGAAAAGGAAAACACAAAGACTTTAGTAGCTGCCAGTAGAGGATTTGGTCTAGATGTAAACACACAGATAACTAAGTACATGTTAATGTATTATCACCAGGAGACAAGACAAGGTCATAACACAAAAGCTAATATATCCTCTGATAAGGAGGCAAAGTTCAAGTATTTGGGAATGAATATTAACAAGATAAAATTGCATTCACAAAAACAGTTAAGACATAACACAGGAACAAAATGAGGAGAAAGAATGGGAAAGAAGCAATGGATTACAGAAATGCAGACAGATATGATATTCCTTTAACATATGTTTTACAAGCAAAATGAAAAGATAAATAAACCAGTATTAGAATTTGTTAACATTTTAGCTTAAATAACTTAATGTTTAAAATTTCACTGCATTTTATATGAATAATTACATATAGAAAGTGGTATAGTTCAGTAGGCAATAGCATAGACTTGAAGATTTCTTTTGATATCCAAATATATTAAATGTCAGAGGAAGAATGCTGCAGAATATATTGTGATACCAGGCCTGAAAGCCAGAGCCAGATGTCTGTTAATAAGCAATGACTAGGTAAACACTACATTTCTGTTGCAATGGCTAGTTAAAACACGTTTTTGCAGCAATGAATACACTCCTATAAACCAAACTGTTTCCCGGAGATTGTCACACATTTCCGTGGCAATGGCAAACAGAATTATATAGGGGACATTCAAGTGTTCTACTTGGCGATCTATATTGGGTCTGCATGAAGTAAGTTCAGTCAGAGATTCAGATATCCAAAGAAAGACTTTGAAAGACTAAAGACTCTTCAAGATTCATTTAACAGACATCATTGAAGGCAGTTCAATAGCGAAGTGTTACCAAGTAACAACGAAGCAAGCAGATGTTGAAGACTTTATTTATGAGTTATAATTATAGTAATCTTTAAGAACGTTATAATTATTTGTAGTGACGACTTGTGAGTATCAAATAAATCTATTCACCAGTCCCAACCCTGTCTATAAGTCATTAACACACATGACAATGTTATTCTATTGAGTAAGAAAAAAAGTAAAGCTATCACACTAACAAGCCAAGAAGGCCCATAGGGTTGTGAGATATTGAGGGTCCTGTGGTACTCATTTCTGTTAGAGGCTGAGTCAACCCCAGGGCCATAGTGCGGCTGGATGGATTAGGTCAATTGAAAGAAATCCAATGACCTCATCAGGAATTGAACCCACGACCTTCCAGCTTGTAGCATAGCCCCTCAACCAACTACGCTACCGTGTGCCCCCTATTCCGCTGAGTAGTCCTTGAAAAGCTGAAAGTCATTCAACTGGTCAAGATATACCCCATATTTAATGAAAACCAAAGGTCCACTGCCTGTTCCAAAGGATCCTGCCATCCTCTCACCAAAACCAGGGCTTCTCAAGCAGTTGCTTTCTTCCATGTCTTCTGACTTCAACTGAGCATGGACACCTCAGTTTTCCTACATGTACTGCATATCAAGGTGATGATTATGTATAGTGAAATGGAAGGATCTGGAGAAGAAGCAGTCATAAACTATTTTAAGTTCCTATCTCAGCATTCATATCAATATGACTGAATAAACTCATATCTCAAATTTGGTGACAGTGCTTTTGTTGGGATTTGAACTAGGTAGAAATTTGTGGATAGTTCTTTGGTTGGGATTTGAACTAGGTAGAAATTTGTGGATAGTTCTTTGGTTGGGATATGAAGTAGGTAGATGTGTAGAAAAGGGAATGTAACCAAAGAACTGAAGCCATGGAGAATACTTTTACTGTACTATAAAACTATACAATTATTTCTGTACATCAATAATTTATTATATAAAAATTACATAAGTACAAAATAAATACATAATGAGTATGATGCATCAACTACAGATGTCACTTCAGTTTATGGTGAAGGTTGATGGGTAATGTTTGGGTAATCTTGATGTATCAAAAGCAGCGCTCAGATCTATCACTGAAAAAAAAATCAATACAACTGGCAATTTTATATTCATTGTGGAAGCAACACAGTCTTACAATGAGACTATGTGTAAGTCAGTTCTTTGTGATATACAATAAGAATCTACAAATTTATGATGTCAGCAAGAGTTGCACATATTCAAAGATCTGCAGCTAGACGGAAACTTTAGTACCCTATATTAATGGTTATAGTGTCACTCCAAACTCAGAAGTTTGCATGGTATGCAGTGTTGGTATTACTGATGATAGGAAATCCTTATTAACCAATAAAATGAAATATAAATCAATGAATATGGTGTGAAAATAATAACAAATACAAACATTCTAGGTGATGCAGTTCACACAGCATGCTTGAAGGACAGTAAAACTGACAAGATACATTTGCAGTGCACAGGTTTGATCATGTTCTTGATATACTGAGTATATGAAACAGAAGTGAATTTGAACAACATGAAGCAGTTCACGTTTCTCATTCTCTCTCCATAACTTACATAATGATAACCACTCCTATTCTTGATGCCAAGTCTAGTGTGCCCAAATACTGATTGCAGTATTAATTAGTTTCTGCCACCAACAGTCATGTCACTTCAGTGAAAAAACAGAACAAAGATGGCAACTGCAACAGCATGTTCACATGGGATGCCTCTTGTATCTACTATCTACTGAGACCTCTAGCAAAAGGATGGGCATCACCAGACTACCAAGGAAGCTGTGGTCCTCACCAAATCTTTCCACTTGCAATACTGTAATCACATGATGCTACAATGTTGTGTTCATGGCATTCACTTTCATCAGCAGATCAGAATGCTTCACAAGTCACTTTCCAAAATTAGTCCCTGTTCAGTACTACTTCCAGTCCTCAATATATGTGTGTCATTATAAGGAGAAATTACATTCTGCTGAGAGTAACATTCTGTGGCACTCTTTGCCACTAGCATAACAAGACTACGCAGACCAGTGTCTCTGTTCAAACCTACTGATGGTTGTCTATCAAACCTACAACTACAAACATGTGAGAAACCTTTTGGTTTAATTTGCAGTTTGGTTGCTTTCCCACTGGTTAATACATAACATTATGCTGCTCAGCGTCAGTGTTCCTAACTTCTGATGGCCTACACTCCAACCAAACTCCCAGCCACCTCTCACAAATACAAATGCACAGGAAAAAATTTACAAATTTTAGCTTTCTTTTTTATTCACTTGGACACTGCAGTCTTAGAGCTGAGAAGATCCCAAATAGGTGTAAATGCTGTACTGAGTAAACAATATCTCATGGACAGGATGCAATTATAAACCAACTGTTTCAGGCTAAAAGCAGCTGTTCTAGGGTAGTGGTTTATAAATAACTCAATCCAAGGAAACAATGGTAGTCTGTACTGAGCACTGCAGAAAATTTCAGCGCCATAGCTGCTATAGGCCAGCTCACAATAAATTTCCATTTGAATTTTGCTAATTAAAAAAATGCATAACTTTGTTAACACCTCAGCCTTCGCTCTGAATAGTAGCTCTGGTTTTATTTGTTTAAATTTAAAACAGCAATTAATTTGCACAAAGATAATTAAGAAAACAAAAAACAGGGATAACTATTGCAGGCACTGTACAAGCATATACAACACAGAAACCTGAAATACTGACACTATGCACTTACCATGGGAACCTGTTCTTTACTGCACCATGACATAGTAACGTATTTCAAAAAACTCTCCGCATTTAAGGTTAACACAAAAAGTTATAATTTTCAAACCAATTTCTGCACAAAATCTTAATTACATCCCTTGCAGATTCTCTGGGAAAAACAAAAGAAAGAGCATGATACTCACAGTGTGACTTGGTGTCATTATCGACCCAGTTACTAAGCACAACAGCCAGAAAGACATAGCATTTGGAGTACAGTTCCTCCAGCTCCTTAAGTCTTGCTTCAAGAAGGAACACTGCTCCTGCCTCCCAAACTTCACATAATCTCAGTGCAACCCAAATCATCTGGAAAATATATTCACAACAGATTATGTGAAGAAAATACTCATATGTTTCCTCTAATGTTTCTTAATATTGCACTTTAAAACTAACATCCACAGAAATATATATTAAAATTTCTTTCACCAAGCATTCCTGAAATCTAAACTAACTCCATGGAGCTGAGCCCTTCTTGAGAAGCTGCCAGTTGTATAGCCACACATGAATTTCCCAACACTTAATCAAACCAAAATGTTCATTACAATGTTCACATGAGCCCTCCACTGGGCCCTGTCTATAGCCATATCAATCCAGTCCGTACCATCCCATCCTATCTATCTCAGAGCCATTTCAATACTATTCACCCACCTACATCTAGGTGTTCCTAGTGGTCTCTTCCCTTCTGCCTTTCCCACCAATATCCTACATGCTTTCCTCTTCTCCCCTTTTCATGCTACATGCCCTTCCAATCTCAACCTCTGTGACTTGATCATTCTGATTATACTTGGAGAAAAGTACAAGTTACGAAGCTCCTCATTATGCAGCCTTCTTCAACCCTCATCACTTCATCTTTCCAGTCCAAATAGTCTCTTCAGCACCGTTCTTAAACACTCTCAGTCTATGTTCATCCCTTAATGTCAAGTTTCACAACCATACAGAACCACAGGCAAAAATTACATTTTTGTACATTCTAATGTATGCTTTTAGACAGCAGATGAGAAGATGAAAGGTTTTGGACTGAATGGTAGCAAGCATTACCCAAATCCAATCTCCTCTTAATTTCATCCTGAATCAAGTTTTGATTTGTTACTGTCGTTCCCAAATATCTGAACTGTGCCACATTTTCATAACATCTATTTCCTATCTTTATGTCATGATTTTGCTCTGCATTTTGGTGATGAGACAGCAACATATACTTAGTTTTCTTTGTGTTTTGTTCTAGGCCTATCTCCTTACTAGCATCAATTAAAGTTTCTGTATTTTTCTTTATGGCATCTATGCTATCATCCAGTAGATTCACATCATCAGCATAGACCAGCAGTTGGTATGTTCTATTTAATTTCAGTCCAACCTAGTTTTCCTGGACCTCTCTAATAGCATATTCTGAAGCAAAGTTTAAAAGCAATGGCAATAAAGCAACTCCTTCTTTTAGGCCATTTGGGCAGGAAATGTATCAGACAAATGTTTACCTAGATGGACTTTACTTATAGGGTTCATTTAAACACACTTTAATCAGCCTAATTAGTTTCACAGGAACCCCAAACTCTATAAGAATACTGTACGATACTTTCCTTGTAACTGAATCACAGGCTCCCTTGAAGTCTACAAATAGCTGATGTACTGCCCTGTTGCACTCCCACTTTTTCCCAGTATCTGATGAAACAGACAATCTGATCAGTAGCTGATCTGCTACATCGAAACCCACTATCCCCAATAATTTTGTCTATGTATGGACCTAATCTTGAGAGATGGATATTGGATGAAATATCATATGAAGTTGATTCACAGTGATATACCTTGATAATTTCTACAGTCACGTTTATCGCCCTTCTCATAGATTGGTACAGTAATGGACTCCTTCCACTGATCAGGCAATTCTTCCTTACTCCAAACAGAATTAATGAGTTTATGGATTTCAGACTGTAATGTTTCACCTCCTGCCTGAATGAGTTCTTTCAGAATTTGATCACTACACAGCGATTTATACCTTTTCAGCTTTGCAATAGCAATTTAAACCTCAAGAGGACTAAGATCAGGTACTAATGGCTCAACAGTATATATTTGTATCTGTCTAACATCACTGACCCTACATACATTCAATAACTGAGAGTAGTTCTTTCACATATTCAAAATGTTCTGGGGATCTGCAAGCAGATCACCATTCTCATCCTTCACTAAGTTACTTCTAAGTTGGTAACCCTTCTTAAATTCATTTATTCCTCTATCTAAAAACTAAAAACTTTTCGAAGTTTTCCTGGGTTCCTTCCTCCCCAAGTTAAAATAAATATTATTATATGCCAGTTCACTACACATAAGGTAAGCCAGATAAAGAACAAACTATGCAGACATCAGTAAGTCTCTGTAAATTAAGCACTAAAAATGCCATCTGTGTATTCTGTACAGTTATGAAACATGCATGGTCCTCTACTTGAATGGAACACAATAGCACATAAGTGTTTCAAGGCATACACTTGAACCTGAAAAGCATTATGTAACATTACATATTGAGGGACTTTGTATTTTATACAGTTTACCTAGTACCGTTAGAATATTAAAATGTAAGAGGCTAATATCCTAAAGTTGGCACTAACTTCGCCGACAAACAGCAGTCACGCGGTTGGTATAGTATGCTTGCAGACTACAGGCCACAGATTTCTTTTAAGAGGCTAATATAGCTGCACATGTCAGAACACAGATGGCTCTTAGAGAGTTGGTTGTGAAGATGGGAAGTATATGGAACAGGCACAGAAATACTTTGTTATCAGAAGCGTCATCTTCAAGTTACATTACCTGTCAGTTTAATTACTTTGGAGATGCATATCCTGAAGATTAAGCTGTAAGCAGCATTTGCAAGCATAACCGATTCATTTTGGATCCTATAACTTAACTGAAAATGCGAACAGTTAATGATTACTAATTTATTCACAGTGTTTTTCTCTCTTCCAATTTGGAGCATGATATATATATATTTTTTATGCTGTAACTTTCCAGTATTTATATTAACATACTTGTATTTGTACTGACATTGTCAGTATTATCTTTCTGTTCTTAATTCCACACCTCTTGAAGGCTGAGTTATATTTAGATACTGTCTTACTTATTCTCAGGAGAACTTATGTACAGCCTGATTTCCTCCCAAACAAACTTCCAGTCTCATGAATCTTGTGCTCTTAAGGTCATATTTCAAATAAAAAAATTAACTGCAGATTAGCAAGCAGACAGTCATGTGACTGAATTTTACAGAGGTTGGTACTATTTTTTATTGCTTGCTATTGTAAATATGCTTTATAGACTACTGCTACCACTCCTCCTCCTCCTGCCGCCACCTGGTTAGCAGGCTATTTAATGAAACTGAATCAACTGTATCACTTACTTAGCACAGAATATCATGAGAGGATGACCACATTAATTGGACGTGAAAGGAATGGGTGGAAGTGGCTCAACCCTGTATCAGGTACCCTTGGCATTCACTTGCAGGAACTGGCAAAAATCACAAAAATCCATCACGATACTCAATACCCTGACTGAGATTTAAACTGGCTTTATCCTGAACACAAGTCAGAAGCATTACCACTTCAGACAACATGTTCTGCCTTCTCTGATAATAAAAGTAAGCAAATGGCAAAGCGGCCTCCGTAGTCTAGAGGTAACATTCCCACCTCAAGACTCGTAGTACGCGGGTTCAAATATCCGGCAGAGGTCGTCGAATTTTTAAGGGCGGAAAAATTCAGGGAACAAGTCCTCCGGGAGGGACTTTAAGCCGTGGGTCCCGTGTCGTAGCTTTACGGCACGTAAAAGAACCTCATATCTCCAAAGGAGGTCACTGAGCCAAATTAACGGACGTTTCCCACCCAACAGCAGTCTCTAATACCTCTGGTAGATGGGGGAAGCATTATAGATACCTCTCAGCTAGTAGAGCCGGTCTCGCTGGCTGGGCGGGACTGATGGTAAGCACCAGTACCGGTAGGATATAGAGACTGGTAGAAATCATAGAGGGAAGCACAATGGACCAATACAGGTCTAAGTGCATGGGGAAACCCACCCTCTCTAATAACTAAACTAAACTAAACTAAACTAAGCAAATGGCATGTTGATACTAGACATACTGAAATGAGAAGTTGACCGACATGAACACCAAGTTTTCAGGAATGTCAAGTAAACAACAGAATCCTGCTGTTAATTCACTGTACCATTCCATTTCACTGTTTCAAGAAATAAGCCAGAAATGAATTTTGCAAAATCTAAATATGAAATTTGGCCCAAATTCATGTAAAAGAAGTACAATAATGCATAAAAATGTTTCCAAACCATGACAAAATGAACCTATTCAATCACAGAAAGAAGTAACATAATTGAAATACTCCTTACCTTAAGAACTGAATTTCTGATAATCTGACTGTCATCAGACTGTAAGCAATGTTCATACACTGCCTGAATATACACATCATGAGCTGCAATGGAACAAACAACATATAATTCTATGGAATTAAAGGATCAAATATTACCATAAGTAATGCAATGACAAAAATCTGCCAATGTCAAATTTCAAAGATATAAAGGGGGTAAAAAGAAAGAAAAATAAAAACATCTGCCTGGCTAATGATAACCAATAACCTGCCCTTTTAATACCATAACTACATAACTAGAGTTCTTTTAAACATTTTAGAATTATATTATTTATTCATTTCATACAATTTGTGGACAGGCTGGTGTGGTTTAACCTCAATACCTTCATGTAAGTTTCATCTGTTGGTCAACAGCTGCAGTCAAAACTGCCCACAGTCCACCTTAAACCACATGTCAACTTTACCTTCCTAATCTTTCTCAATATCAGCATTCTACAGTACAAAACCATTCCCTTCCATATTTCCTTCCATTCCTTATGCCTGGTAGCTGCTAAGAAACCATATGTGTTATAAAGCCATTTGTTTGGTGTTTACAAGCCTAGTCACCATGTGGTGCCATGACTGTGCACAAGGTGAAAGATGCATGTCACATCCTTCTGTTCTCAAACTAGAATTCAATACTACTATGAACAGTCTGGTGTGGCAGATGTAGAAGATTCATTCAATACACATAAAAAAGTAAAGCTATCCCTCTAACAGGCCGTGAAGGCCCACATGGTTGTGAGATGTTGAGGGCCCCACATTATCTAGACAATTGGCTCAAAGATGGTGGTGAGGTTGTCAGCCTCACGCACCAGTCATGCTTTACTCCCCAGGAAAATTATTTAATTAATTCCTGGTACTCATTTCTGTTAGAGGCTGAGTCAACCCCAGGGCCATAGTGCAGCTGGAAGGATTAGGTCAACTAAAAACATCCAATGACCTCATCGGGACTTGAACCCATGACCTTCTGGCTTGTAGCATAGTGCCTCAACCAACTACACTACCATGTAATTCAATACACATACAAGTAAAAACATGATGGAGGAGGAGAACATGTTTTAATGCATTATACAGCAGCAGCATATAACACTGTATATGTGGATGCCCACCTGTTCTGTCAGAACATGTACCGGAAAAGCATATTGTGACATGCCAAGCTATGGATGACGCCCCTCTCCCCCCGCCAGCCGTGATGCGCCGAGCGAAGCCGAAGCGAGCCGATGTTAGCCGAGTCCTAGCATCCTGGTCGCTAGGCAACGCAAGTCAACAGCGGTGACGTCACCAAGTAGTAACGGCGGTTACGTCCGGACAGCGTTACATAGCAACACAGCGCCAGGCAACAAGGGTGCATATTACGTGGCCGGATTCTGTATTGTCCGATCGAGGCTACATCAGGAGCAGCGAAGGCTATTCAGTCAGTTATACAGTAACAGTCGCCGATTCGAGTTTGTACTGTGACAGTCAGTTAGTCCTGGAGCTACCTCCGAGTTAGCCAGCAACCAGTCAGTTGTATTGTGGCATTTGGAGTGTACTATTTGTGATACTGCAGATAGCAGTAAT